ATGATGAGGGCAATGAATGTACAAATGCGCTTTACACAATTGATGTATGTATGGATTGTGATAAGAGTTGTATGAACCCCTAATAAAACGAAAGTAAAAAAAACATCATTCATTTGATGGCACTCAATCCAGTGAGAGTTTCAGCAACTTTTCTAAGGGATACTTGGAAGAAAGGTTAGGGGCTAAGTGACATGAGTTTTATAGACAACGCCAAGACAATAGAGAAAACAATTTCTTTTTGACTTCCAGTTAGGAAAGAGCATGTCAGCCGCACAGTGTTGGCTGAAAATGGTACCTGGAGTTTAGAGAGTTCTTGCATGAAAGGATGCTCAATCTGTAGCTTGTCCCCACGCCTTTTTAATTCAATGATTCCTGCATCCAACTCCTTCAACCCATCTTCAGCCCGTTGTATTTCCTAGGTAACATTCAGAATATTGAATTAAAACTCTCAAGAACAATTGAACACACAACATCTGATTGTTTTATCTTTCCATTTGTTCCTCTCTACTCTATCTAAGACAGGTTCAATACATAAAGGCAGAATCATTTCAATAAAACATAAAAGCCATGGCCATCTGTTATGTAGAAACGCAACAAAAGCCTTTTATCATGCTACAGATTAGCTATCACATAGTTAAGAAGGCAGGAGATAATGCCTTTTGTAGACACATAGGGGAATTCATGGATTGCAACATCTGCAAATGGAGAATGGGCGAAGAAATAGTTAGGGAAAGCTATTTGCCTGAGATTTTCTGGGGGACTGTGCCCTGATTTTTCTTTTTTTTCTATGATGTGGATGCCCTTTGAGAGAGCTTCATCACGGCAACAGAGACATTTATGATGGTGTGTTCGGAACTGCTTCCTCGTTTTGGGGAAGTGAGGCATCAATCAGTCCCCAAGTAGTAGGACGGCAGCTAGAGCTGAGCCTTGCTCTTCCCAGTATGTGCTTTGTAGCAACAGAACCAGGTCTCTTCCTGACCTTCAGGGGGCCTTCAGTGTTGTAAGTGTGGTTAGGAAGCTGGAGGGAACACAGGAAAACAAAAGAACCATGAACAAAATTAAGCCCGCGCTTTTGGGTGATCGGAACCATTCCTTTACCAGGAGCCTGGAGACACCGGTGAGAGTGGAGCCGTGTAAGCAGGCTTTTGGAAGAGGTGTGACCTCAGTGGCCCTGGAAGGATGTAAGAACAAGGGCTCCAGATGGCCAGTGAAACACATGCATCTAATTTCCTTTCTCCTGAAACCCCACTCCAACCACCGCTAAGAGTTTTCGGTCTGGCATGTGTTCCCCTCTCCCCCAACCCCAGTAAATCTGCAAGGACAAGAAAATGGAAAGAAGGCAACAGCAACAATGTTTTGGAAGCTGGAAATCAGGATGCATGAGCACGGACTTAACTATGAACCCAAATCCTACATTTGCAGGGCATCTACACCCCAATTTAATATCAACAGGAACCTTGCGAGCACTGGGTGAGCTGAAGGGCTGTTTAAAGAGCAGGTAAGCCTCTGGGCACCCTTTCTTGCCCCACAATTCCTCTTTCCTTCCCTGGGGGAACAATTAGAAAGTTTATTTTCTGGAGAAGGGAAAATAGGATCTGGGTTGAATGGTACCAGATACAATTCTGGGCTTGAGGACTTTCCTGAAACAGAGGATAAAGGGATGGATATCATTGAGCACTGAATGCCGGGCTCTACTCTCCACACAAACAATTGATACAAGGTTGTGCCAATCAGTGCCCCAGAGGGAGCTCTCTTCAATAAAATGCAAAGTGGTCAAGCCTCATCTACACAGTCCCCATTGTGCTTTTTTGGTTAGTCCCCAGGCTTAAACATGTGTAAACAACAATGCATTCCCAAACAGCCGGAAAAGCCTCTCATGTGAAAGCTAGAGGCCACAGTAAGGAAATAAACGAATGCAACTTGGTGGGAAAATTCTCCAGGAAAACTAAAACGTCAACAAAAATTGTCATGAAAGACCCTCTGAGCCAATTGTAAAACTTAATGCCCCACTGAAAAAGATCCGGACACTGTAAGAAAAGAATTACGCAGAGCACCCAAAGGAGCTCAGGGCAGGAAAGAGACAAGGACAATGCCTGTTGGGGGAGGAACAGATAAGTAAATGTTGGCTAATACATACAAGGCAATACTATGCATCCCTAAAGAACCGTGACAAAACTGTCAAACACCCCGTGGTAAGGGAAAATTGGGGAGCTATTATGCTGTGTGAAATCAGTCAATCCTTTAAAAGCCAATACTGTGTGAGATCATTATTTTAAAAGGTTAAAACCAAGAAAAATGGTTTTCATACCACACAAAGCAGATCATGAGGGTTACAGAGAAGTTGGGGTAAAGGGGGTTAGAGGAGAAGAAAAAATAAGCTCAGGAAGTTAAACAAGAAAGCAGCTATGGAAAAGCAGGAGAAGGGTATGAAACTGAAATGGAGGGAATCTCCCAGAGAGCTGAAAATAGACAAAAAGGAAAGGGTTTCCAGATAAGAAAACCAAAGAACAAGACGGAAATATTCAATATCTGACTGAAGGAACCCCAGAAAGAGAGACAAATAAAATGGATAAATTAAAAGTATTAAATCAACCATCAAAAATTTATCAGAAAGGAAAGATGTGATGTGTTGCCAAAGGAAAAGGGCCCACGGCGCTCTCAGTCCAAGATGTAAACCTACCCTCCACAGGTATATTATTGTGAGATTTCAGAATGCTGGGGCTATTGGGAACTAGAGAGGTTATCAGTTCTTCAAATCAACACTAGTAGCTAATGAACAATTGAGCAAGCATCTTAAAACTCTTAAGAGTAATTTATTTCCAGTCCAGAATTCTATTTATAACCAAGCTATCAAAAGCGTGGAGCATATCTGAATAGCGTCTTCAGAAGTGTTCTCACTGCCATGGAGTCTCTGCCAACTCGTAGAGCCCCTGACGGGCAGAGCCCTCCCTGTGAGTTTCCAAGACTGCATGTAGCTCTTTAGGGCTCTGTAGTAGAAAGCCCATCTTTCTCCCTGGGAGTCACTGGTGGGTTCAAACTGGTGACCTTGTGAATCACAGCCCAACATATAACCACTATGCCACCATGCTGCTCTCAGTCAGAATATGTTCTAGAAAAACAAAGAAGGAATCCAGTAAGTATAAAGACGTGGGACTCAAGTAATTGGTGAGCCAACACAGGAGGGAGTAGAAGAAAACCTCAGAATGATGGTAAAGAAAGATCACAGGAAGAATACTGTGTGTAGGCTTCTTACAGACACAGATCTGGTCTGGCTTGGAGGATATGGCTCAAGAGATACTGTGGTTGTTCTTCATTGCTGTCCGATTGATTGTGTCTCATCATGATTAAACTTTTTAAATGTTAAAGAATGGTTTTTAAAATTTTTTGCAGAAATGAGGGACCTTTTTGCAAAGCAAGGGAAATTGCAATCTCAAAAATACACATTCCGTTAAATAGGCACATCTCAATCACCGATTTGATACAGGAACATTGCATTTTCAAAAGTCTAGAAGCACTGAAGGAAGAGAATTGTTAAGGCAGACAGGAGTGGCAATTCTGTTGGGAATCCATTAAAACAAGTACCAGGGACTGGTGGGGCGGGGGATGGGGGGTGCATTGTGGGGGAGAGGAAGGAGGAAGGACAGAGGAGTGGGCATAGCTTGAGGGAAAGCCCCGAGAGGGACAGGAACGGGTGTCTGTGTGGTTACACAGGTACGACGAGCAAAAATCTCTGTTCCAAGCACCAAAAGGGTGCCGGGGCCTGATGGGCATGGGTATGGAATTAGCACAATCCTTATTTACTTTCCATTTATTCAAAGAAATAATCAAAAAAATCAAAACAAACAAACAAAAAAAGAAATAATCAAATTGTTGATGTCTTGATCCATGGTATCAACTTTAGTCATCATGGCCAATCAATACCATGGCTTTTTGCGGTCATCTAGAGTCCGTGTTCCACCTTAGAGACAGACCCCAGGTAAGGCATCCTTAGTGCTCTTCAGATCTCGTTTGGACATCAGGTGGGTGAGACGCCAACACAAATCCAAGCTTTCTGGGGCTTGACAAGGCACTCTCTCGTGTGGTGTATTTCCCTTCAATAACCTTCATTCACTTCGAGTGCATGTAAGTCGGGTTGCTTGGTTTTCTCCACTCAAGGCTCTCTCTGCGTTCATTCCTTTGTTCTTGCTAGTTTTACACGGCCATTCTTCTCCCCAGGTTGTGCCTTCTCAATTCCCCCTGTCCAGTTCCCTCCGCTCTCCAGTCTTCTCTGATCTGACGCCGGCTACAGGCAACCATCCCATCTGATTGTGCACAGCGCTTCATTTCCGCCTCCCCCAGAGAGCCTGACTTCTGGACAGACAGTGCTCGGGTCATGTGCGATCTCACCTGGAGAAGACATCTGTTCCCAGCTCACGTAGCTTACTGCTCTTAGAAGGCAGCGAGAGAGTCAATGCAGCCCACCCGCTACTCAAAGACCCAGGACTTAAAACACATGGGCCAAACAGAAATAAGCACGATCCAGTCAGCATTTGCTTTTTCCTGTCCAGGAAAAGGTGGCTGTAAATACCTCTATTTGCTCTGCAACGGGCTGCTCAAACACATTGGCCAGTTTCTGGAGGATGATGTATTTGCTGTCAGCCAGTGATGTAAACAGCACCTTCAGATCATTCTGTGGAGGAAAGCAACAGGCAGGCTTAGCTTGTACAACAGGAAATTCCAAGAGGTTATAAATAGCACACAACCTAATATGAATGGTGTCGTAGAACACAAATAAAAACCAATACTGAGCCTGTGAATCTTCTTGCTAAGGTAGATGCAAACAGTCAAAATGGTTCAAAAGAAATAATTTGTTGATGATGCTATGCTAACAAACAAATAAAGCACCTACAGGTATGATCCTGATTTGAGAAAATAGATAATTCATCAGAATAATATGATTCTTTTCTTCTTTCTCCCATCTCTCCTTCCTTCTATTTTCCATAAAGTTGTATAAGCTTATAAAATGCTATCTCAAGCACTTATGAATGAAATATGACCCACGATGACCAAAACCATACACCAAGGGGCAGCACAAAAAGATCTTGACTGAAGCTGTTGTTCATAAATATGACTCATTAAAATGGTCAAATGTACACAGACATTGAGATCGATCTGTATGGGGAAAAAAGGAAGTAACGATCAGAATGTTAGGACTCAATTAAAAAGCGAATAATGAATAGGAAGAAAATGTGCATTCTAAAATGTGGGAATGGTTTTCTGAAGTCTCAGGAAATAAGATATATATATTATATATCTATAATCAATGAGCTCTACTTCTCACACGTGTGTTGGTGTGTGTATGCATCTATAGACTGAGTATTCATCAGAAGTCGAGGTGCTTGTCACTGGAGGCTAGTCAGGTGTAAGAACACCCATAACCAAGTGCTAAAGTTCTTTTTCATGGAGCAAAGGATAATCACGCCATGAAGACCGAGGATGAGTAGAAGCATTATAACATTAAGTGCAAGACTAAAAAACAAAATAGAGTGAGATCTTCAGCCAAACAGAAATCAGAAGGAAACAGAGTTCTAAGTATGAGAATTAGAGAGTAGGTGAGGATTCTAACAGGTAACACCCGTCAAGGACCAAAGCCCAAGCCGATCTATAACCTAGTGGAAGACAAACGAGAGAAGTGCGGCACCAGAACTGGAAAATATATAATAATGCCAGAAACACATTTAATTTGAATTTAAGCAAAAAAAAAAAAATCTCACTGTTATTAAACTGATTCTGACTCATCGAGACCCTGTAGATTTCCAAGACTATAACTCTCTTCGGGAGTAGAAAACCTCTTTTTCCTCCCATGGAGCGGCTGGTGGTTTAGAACTATTCATCTTGTAGTGGTTAGCAACCCAGCACATAATATGATTGACCTGTGTTCAAGGTGATATTATGGGGGTCATTGAAACTGACAGAATGCTGTCATCTGTGTTGATGGACATTTAAAGACCTTTCCTGTCCATTGGTTCAGCTAATCCAAATGAGTTGATAATTACAAAGAGTCGAGGCTGGGCAAGTAAAGAAAAAATGGATGTGTCTATTTCCGGTGTATCTCATTTGTAGTTTAATAGTCTGTTTTCTGTATTAATGATATCTTACTCAAGATATGAGAATGCTGACCTTTAAGTTTCTTAAAACCAAAACAAGCAAATACAGTGCCACTGAGTAACCTCTCACTGATCGTTGGGAGCGACTACCCAAAAAGAAAGTACAGCAGGGATTATGGTCCTAAATAAGCGACTACATAAGACTTTCGAGGGGCTAAAAATCACATGGATGCTGATGTTTTCTTAAACGAACAAATGCCCAGGCTTTATTCATTTTAATAACTCTACCTGGGATGCATAAAGATATTAAAGCTCAAGTGTTTGGCTGCTAACCAAAAGGTTGTTGGTTCAAACCCACCAGTTATTCTACCAGAGAAAAGACTTGTGGGGCTGTTCCTTAGAGATCCTCGTCTAGAAAACTCGAGGATGCTGCTCTCATCGGTCAGATCGGAATCGACTCACGGACACACGAGGATGGCATTATTGCTCACATAACTTAAACATTGCACCACATTTTCCTCATCATGGTCTTGTTGTTGTTGTTAGGTGTTAAAGAGTGGGTCCTGAACCCACAGTGACCCTGTGCACAACAGAATCACACTCTGTGCAGTCCTGAGCCAGCCTCACAACTTTCCCATCAAAGTAAATTGAATTCCTGGTAGTGCATGAAAGAAACGGTCCTGACCACGTGAGAAATTGGTCTCTCCAAAGTACCATGTCTTCACTCAGTCAAGCTGCCTCATTTGTTTATCGAAGAATTCGTTCATTTTCCACTCTTTGGATAGCTTAGGAAATACTAAATTGCACATCCAGGAAATGTATTTGGGATGAAGCTTATAGCTAGAAGTTTTAAATTAAAAAGATTAATTCATTTTTAATTTATTTGGTGGCTCCATTTCTATAATGTAAAAATACAAAAAAACCCCCACTAAACCACACCACCATGATGCCAATGTTGACTCATAGTGACAACCCCTGCACCACCACACACACAGACACACACACACACACACACACACACACACACACACTGAGGGGTTTTAAGACTGTAAAATGTTTACAGGAGTAGAAAGCCTAGTCTTTCTCCCCCAGAGCTGCTGCTAGTTTTGAACTACCAACCATGTACAGTGGTTATCTGTTGGGCTGTGATCGGCATGGTCGCTATGAGTCAGCATTGATGCAACGGCAGTGAGTTTGGGTATCAGCAATACACATCTACATAACATCTTTGCCTCCTTCCAAGTTGTCTTTGGGGCAAAGACTAATGTTAGGAGTTTGGCAAAGGAGAATGCTTTCGGGAAATGCTTCAGAAACTGTGGAGCATCCAGGGCATACCAGAGGTCTGGTGCAAACTCAAAGAAAACTGTTTGTGCCTTGACCTTTAACGATGTTAGAATTGGAACTCTTTCTCTCAATTAAACTGGAACACCAGCATTTAGAAAAGTCAGTTTTGGTTCGTGAGCTGGCCACCAACAAGTGGGCACTTGCTGGCAGCAGAATACTAGGGACTAAGATTCAACTAAGAAGTACAAGGCTGCATGCCCATCTCTTAGTCCCCACCCCAAAGGGCCAGAGTACTGATGCTTCCTTTGAACTTCAGTGCCACTGGTTATAATCAACGAGGACGTTTAAAAGTGCCAAAGAGGTTTCACAAAGCAGATGCAATTCATACAAGGGAAACTTGTCTCTGAGTGATACTAATACGGGTGCTTTGAACCTGTGCCACTGAGGATGGATACAGTAGAATGGGGTTATCACTCAGCAACGTGATTTTAGACATGGTACATGTGAATGGAATGAGACAGGTTCCTCTAAGTTATTGGAGGATGTTAGACTTACTGTGTGTACACACTTGTGCAACTGGCTCTGGCACCAAGAGAAATATACAAACAATCCTTGCTGGCTTATCTGACGCCAAGTGGAACACCCTTCCCTCTTTGATGTACAACCAGATAGATACATATGCAAATATCCAGCCCAGATTTCAGCCATAGATTTCCATATGCTAATGTCTACTAAGATTCTACCTTAGCATCTTAATTCTAATTCATAGTGTTTCCTAGTCTTGTCCATCCATCAGCGCTACTGCCTTGGACCTAGTCTTGCCCATTGGCTCCTGGCACTGTTCTCTATCAGTCAACACTCCGGTCAGAATTCTCAGCTGTTCCCTCCTTTTCATTCCCATAGCCAAACTATCAACAGATCTTCTATTGACTCTTAAAATATACCGTGAATACTCTTTAAAATGTACCTCGAATACCTTACCTCATCCTCCCCACCTTCCAACATCTTAATCACATGAGATACAAAAATCATGTTTGAATCAAACCTTGGCTCTAGTTCGTGCTGGGTGAAGAGCTTTGGAGAAGGAATAAAACCTTCCCGTTGGTCTCAGGTCCTGTGTACTGTTGGGATGCTAGCCCTTAGTAACAATAATAATCCAAACAACACTTGCGGAGTGCAGACTGGGCCCTGTTTAATTGGTTCCATGCTGACAATTCCCTCTGTGGCAATTAGCAGAGGCACGATTTAATAGTTGAGTAACCGAAGTCTCCAAAAGGTGAGCAGCTGAGATTCTGCAGCCAACCCGCTACCATTTGTGCAGCTCCTGATGCACAGCATCTTTATCTACGAGTCCCATGCCTGTATATCTTTAGGAGAGAAGACATCTCATCATTCTCCTGAGGAGCGGCTGTTGGGTTTGAACCATCCACCTCGAGTGTAGCATCCTGCCATGTAACCCACTGGGCCACCCACCCAGGCTGTTTGGTACTACAGCAGTAAGGGGGAAAGTCAGAGTTTTAATCCACGGAGTTAGCTAAGCTAAGAGGGACACTGTGACGATGAGACACAACTACACACATAGGAGTTCTCTATGAGTCCAAAAAGTACACAAAAATGTCGGGAACAATCTCACTTTGCCATTTTCAGACATGGACATGTGGGCTGCTCAGCACAGAGCCAGCAGTTGGTAACCACGGTGCAGATTAACAGCTTTCGGAGTGCTTGTACTCTGCCCTGTAGATGGCTATGAGTCATAATCGACTGGGGAGCGGTGAGGTGTTTTTGTGGGGTTTTTTTCAGTTTAAACAACAGGGCACTAGTGATAAGTTGTTCCTCTTGGAAATCGCATACTCCACGGTTCAGATTACATTGATTTGACACTTCACAGTATTTTTCATGCACACAACTTTCACATTAAACCTTTGGCCCTAATTGCGTGTATCTTTTTTATATATCTGACATACGTGGTTTATTTTTTTTGAAAGCATGCAGCTAAAACCTAGGGATTTATGAAGAAGGCATTGTGTTAGGAATGAGAATCAACAGTAAAATGATGTTCACAGGTCCTATAAGACAGAGCAGAACTGTTCCTGTAGGCTCCTGAAAGTGTCACTCTTTCTGGGAACAGAAAGTCTCATTTTTATCCTGCAGAGGAACCCAGTGATCCCCCTGGTCTCCTGACACGTAACAAGACAGGTGCTGTCAGAGGCTCCTGAGTTTGTACCCGAGGAATTTTTCTGTATCTCACTTGCTGAACGTTTGCTGGAAAACATGCTTTTAAACTCCAATATAATTATTAACTGAAGGAGCCGTGGCAGTACAGCGTTCAGGGTGTGAGTGTGTGTGTGTGTGTGTGTGTGTGTGTGTGTGTGTGTGTGTGTGTTACACA